ACGGGAATTCAAGAAGCAGAAGATGTTTGGAAGGTCCATGTAGATGGATCCTCCAACGAAAAAGGAAGTGGAGCCAGAATCATACTTGAAAGTCCGGAAGGGGTGTCAATAGAGCACTCCCTGAACCTTGGCTTCCCGACTTCAAACAACCAAGCGAAATATGAAGCCCTAATAGCCGAATTGATGCAGGCTAAAGATCATGGGGCCAAGAAGGTTCAAATCTTCAGTGATTCCCAACTGGTAACTTTTCATATCGAAGGGAAGTATAAGGCTAAAGGACCTCTGCTAATTAAATATCTCAACAAGGTCAAAGAAGTTATGGCCGGGTTCGAACAGGTAATAGTCACTCATATCCCTCGAGGGGAGAATAACAAAGCTGACATCTTGTCCAAGTTGGCAAGTACCAAGAACTCGGGAAACCACAGGATTGTGGTCCAACAAAGTATAGCCGAACCGAGCTGTGTCATGATTGTCACTTCAGCAAATGATTGGAGGCAGCCAATAGTGGCTTATCTCGAAAGAGGGATATTGCTAGAAGACCCACTAGAGTCTAGGAAGTTGGTCCAAGATGCGACGCAGTATATATTGTAGCTGAGATACATGAAGGAATCAATGGCCAACACATGGGGGCTAAGGTGTTGGCTAGAAAGGTCCTTCGAGCTGGGTATTACTAGTCAACGATGGAAGCTGACTCCAAGGAGCATGTTAGAAAATGCGAGAGTTGTCAAAAACATGCTAAGTTAATTCTTTCACCCCTAGAGGAGTCAAAGTATATCTCGGCTCCATGGCCCTTTTTCAAATGGGGAATGGACCTGCTGGGACCCTTAAAGGCGGCTGAGGGACAGCTGAAATGGCTAATTATAATAAGTATCCCGTAAAAGTGCATATAGATGAAGTATCCCGAAAAATTATAATAAGTATGAGAATATTCCTAAAATAATATATAGGATTAGGATGTCAAGTTTCAAGTCAAAATAATAAGAACTGGCGTCATAATGATATCGGCTACGTAAAAGCGCGTACCGGCAAAGTGCGTACAGATGAAGTATCCCGAAAAATTATAATAAGTATGAAAATATTCCCAAAATAATATATAGGACTAGGATGTCAAGTGTCAAGTCAAAATAATGAGAACTGGCGTCATAATTGATATCGGCTACGTAAAAGCGCATACCGGCAAAGTGCTGGGAAAAATAAAATAAAAATATGATAAATCTTAGAAGAATGACTAGGTCCAGAATTCAAAGTTTGGGGTTAAAATGATAAGCTTAGCTATTAGTGCTAATACAGTGTGTTTAAACTTAAATGAACTATAAATAGAGTATTACACAGAACCCTAGGATGATTCTATCAGCTCTACGTGCCTCCATTTGCTGAAACTCTAACCAGCCACCTTGCCACCTTTTCCCCTCTCCATTGAGCCATCAATAGGCCACCTTTTCTCTTGGTTTCTTCACAAAAACTCCATGTGTGAGTGTACTCAAGCCATGGAAAGTTGAAAAGGGTGCATTTCTGAGTTTAAGTGTTAGTTTGAGTGAGGGTTGGGGGCTGACTACTTGGTGTGAGTTGTGGGAACCATTTCATGAGATGTTGATGCTCTAAGAAGTGAACTTGGTGAAGAAAGGACCCATCTTGTTGTTATTTTCGTGGTCCCTTGCAGGCTGAACCTTTGGAGCTGACTTGAGAGCTCCAAGAGCACTTGTGGTTCTATTTTGAAGCCTTTGGGTAAGCACCATCACCTTTGATCATGAGTTTCCTTGTTAATAGAAGAGTCTTGGCATGTAAAATGGTGGGATTAATTAGTTGGCATGATCACTGACCTAAATAGGTATAAAAATACATGCTTGGACGTTAATATGTGTTAAAAACACAACCTTGGATGGATATCTTCGCGAAAATACAGAACTGCATTCTGTTGCGAAATATCCAGATATGATATCCGGATAATGATATCCGGATATGGGGTTTTGGATATCTGGATATGGATATCCGGATATTGCCCCGACAAATATCCGGATATTTTGGGGATTTTAAGACAGTGACTGTTCTGTCCATACAAAACTGTATTTTGGGTTTGTGGACCCATGATTGGTTAAGTTGGACCTCTGTAATAATTAATCTAAGTCAGAATCAATTGGATTAAGGGCTTGTGGCTTTGTGAGAAAACTAATGGCATGAAACGTAAAAGGAAACGTTGTCGTTATGTCATGAAGTATTAGATTATGAATGTTGATATGTTTGCTGGTCTAAACAGATTGTGATTGAGTTGTGTGTGGACCTTGGGCTATTGTGGACTCTTGAGTTTGGACTGTTAGCTTGCAAGGTAAGCTTTCATGTACTCGGATTGATCTGTTGCTTGTTCCATCGACCTCCATGGGAGGGTGGTTTATATGCATGTATGCTTTTATGAAAGATGAATTATGAATTGATATATGCTTGAGATATGTTAATTTAACTGTTGATGTAATGTATGAAAGTGATGTTGACTACTTACACGATCAGACTGCGACTCTGGTGTGTAAGGCATAAAACTGCGACTCTTATGTTTAGATAGGTCATAGACGTGCATAATCCCTATCCTGTTCCCTGGCCAGTCGAACCGCATTTGCATACATCACATGATTAATGAGTTTAAGTCTTTGGCTTGTTGAGCAAGAGCTATATTGTCATGATTTAAATGCCTTAATATGAACATGCATTGAAATTACTATTTTTGAACTTATATTATACTTGTAAGTGAGCTTGGGGCGGAAGAGTCCTTGAGGACCCCTTGTCTTACTGAGATTGTTTTTAGAGATCTCACCCCACGTTTTGGGCACATTCTCAGGTACAGGTACCTCATGGGTTGAGTCCTCGGGCGGAAGGAGGCTGAAGCTTAGTTGATTATAAATGTTGACTGTTGATATGCTGACATGCTTAGTTAATGTTTATGCTTTTATATGGTTTATTGAGCTGAGACTCTGTTGGGTTTTGTTGCCTTATTTGGTGAGCATGGGAGTTGTCCATGACACATTGATTTATGCTTTGTTTATTTAGACTCATTATGTATAATGAATCAGGATGTTTGTCCGGACTACGTGTTGTAGATCCGTGACTAGAAACACATTTATATATGAGGTATTCAGTTAGTTATTTATTTGCAATTTACATACAGGCGATGTTTTAAAAAAGGATTGATTAATCAACTTGATTAATAATAATTACGTTATAATTGAAAAGAAAAAGTTAGTTCTGCATTCTAATTAAGCAGCGCTTAATACGATGATATGATAACAAACCGGGTATACACGGGGTGTTACAGAAACCCTATTCAGGCTCACCTACAGATGTGAAGCGATGATCCCGGTAGAAATAGGGGAGCCTTCTTGGAGAAGAATGAATGCTATCAAGCGAAATGAAGAGGAGAATAGCAAGCTACTGGGACCCAAGTTAGACCTCGTTGACAAAGCCAGAATCACGGCACATTGCCAGGATATGACGACTAAGTGACTGATAGCAGCAAGATACAATAGAAAGGTGAGACCAAGGGCATGTGAGAAAAATGGCTTGGTACTCAGAAGGGCAGATATCGGCAACAATGCCAGATATAGAAAGCTAGCTGCAAACTGGGAAGGCCCTTACCGAGTTAAAGGAAAGCTCAGAAAAGGAGCCTATGTCTTGGAAACTACTGAAGGCAAGGCAATCAAGAGGACCTGGAATGCGGATAAACTAAAAATGTATTACAGTTAAATCTGGGATCCACACTCTGAATATTTGAAGTATTTTCAATTTATTTAAAGTTTTTTCAATTTATTTAAAGTATTTTCAATTTCTAGGCGAATTATTTTCCTTTTTTAGGGATCGGCTAAAGTCGAATATAGCGGCAAATTCATGTAATCGACAAATTTGATATCAATAAATGAGGAGTTTTTCTTTTTGAAACTTATCCTTATTGAATTATGATGCATCAACACAAAATTCTGAGGTGCAAGTGCAATTTGTCATGCTGACTCTAATCAAGTCGAAATGCTCCTCACTTAGGTCGAAAGACCCAATGGGACATATGACAATATTGTATTTACCTTGGAGGGAACCGGGTTACAAAGCCCAGGTTGCGATGAAAGGCGGCAACGATCACCTTCATCAATGATGACTTAACGAAACGTTAAGTCAAAATAAACATGCGTAATGGAGAATGACAAAAAACGAAATCCGTATGATATGCTTTGACCTCGGCTAGGTCAATATACACGAACTCGTGAAACGTACATCCGAGTTACAAAAATAAACGTATATTCGAGTTGTAAAAATAACCCATCTTGGATGGGGAAAAACTCGAATAAGGTTTGAAATACTTAGAAAATTAAGTTACAAACCTAGATAACAAAGATGCAAAATTTTTATCGAAATCAAGAAAATGCTAAGTCCCTAGAAGTATTAAGAAATACTAGGACTCCGAGCAACGGAGCGAACTGATAAATCTCTAATGCTTAGAAAAGGCGTCTAAGTTATCAAGGAGGGATGAGATGTAAAAAGGCAGTATAAAGCTAAATCATCCAAAAGCATGAAGAAAACAAAGAATTTGACAAACATTAAGAAGAGAAAATCGGAATACAACCGGCAATATTCACAACCAAAGCAAAAGGGGCTCAAAAGCCCCAGAAAAATAAGATTACAAATTAAACCGGCATCCCGGCCCTTCAGTCAACAGGGGTAGTATAATGACCCTCACATTTATTATGGATTTAATATTGAAGGATAATTACAAAGAAAAAGAAATAAAGTCACTTTTGGTGAAAAATGAGTTAAAATGACAGTTAAGAGGTAAAAAATGCGGATAAATAAAGTTATCTAAAAGTGAAAGTAAAAATAGAAACGTGACTAGAAAAATATTCTAGTCTATTGGTTAAAGTTTGGTAATGAATGGAGGTGTGTAGATAGATGAGCTTATACCCGCTAGTATAATGAATTTATATAAGTGACTCAAGGGAGTCACTGTTCCCTTCTCTTTACGGACGCGAGACAGAGAGAACGAAGGAAAGAAAATGAAAATGGAGATTTTGATTAAAATTCTTCCAAAATTCATAACTTGAGCTAGAGACCTCCAAATCACTCCGTTCCAAAGCCAAACCTGTGAGAAATTTCGAGAGGAATCTATTGGTACCAGTATTTCTGAGTGGGGTTCACTGTAGAGAGAGATCTTCTCCCCCAAAGAATTCGAATTTCATGGAAAATATGGGTTTTGATGGAGCTTGAAGCCATGGGAGCTTGAAGCAAGCTTCTCCCTTCATTCTAGGTAAGTTCATGTTAGAAATCTTTGTTTTCTTTGAGTTTTGAGAAAGATTGAATATAGGTTTTCATTTTAAAAATTTGGATTGATTGAGCATGTTAGAGCTTAATTCAGGTTTAGCTCATGTTGAGAAAAGTGTTTAGATGAGAATTTTAACGGTGAAAATGTATTTTGGAAAATTAAAAATACCGTATTTTTGAATAGTGTCGTATACGTGAATAGTAACGCATACATGAATAGTATTGTAGAGATGAACAGTGTCGTATATATCAATTAACGAATCTTGGATTAGAGGTGTGTGATAAGCTTGAATTTGATGGAGTAAAGCATTGAAATCATGAAGTTGGCATGATTTCCTTTATGTGCCTCTTAGCCATTTTCAAAGGAAGTATGTGCTATGAGTTACTGTTTTACAAAGCGAGCATACTTTTATGCGTGGAATGATATTCTAAGGTGTATGGACCTTCGCTTTGGTGAAATAAAAAAGAAAATAAGGTAGCTCCTTTGTATGGCCTTAAAATGAGTTTTGGCCATTTTCAAATGAGGTATATGTTCGGAGATATTGTTTCGCAAAGTGAGGATACTTATATGCGTAAAATAATTTATATAGGTGGCTAAGCTTGGGTTTAGGCACTAGACAAAGAGAAATCTTATAGCTCCTTTGTAATGGGCATTCGGCCTTAAATTGGGAAAAATAGGCTTTTAGGTGCTAAGAGGAGTAATGAGTGTTCTAAAGGCCTTTTGGGACTATCCTAAGACTAAGTGAATATATGGAATTTTGTGGGGATTTGTTGAACAAAGAACCACTCACTCATGACTTAATATGATTAAGTAAAAAGAAAATAAACAATAAAGTGTGTGTCTTGTATATTTACATGGCATTATATCATTTTATTGAGTTTTATGTTGAATTCCTTCTCTAGGTGTACCTAGGGACTGTGAACGTTTGGATTCTCGTGGAGTATGATAAGTAGCTTGTTCTTCAAGTAAGCAGATTGTAAAGCTCAAAGAGGTAAGCTCTATGTTTATGGGGTTCGCTCCTACTCTGTGTTCCGCCATAGTGTACGGACTGTGGTCAGGTTGTATGATATGTATGAGATACATGATATAGATGCATTCATATAGAGCTATATGATAATATGATATGTTTTGTTTTGATGTATTTACTTTGATATGTGTTAATATGATATGTTTTGTTATGATATGACTTCTGTAATATGATTTCTGTAACAATATCTGGCCATTGATTGTATAGTACCCGGATGTTCGCTTTGGGGTCCTCCCTCGGGACTGATGGTGTACGCCTCTGATATGTTCTGGTTCCGCTTTGGGGTCCTCCCTCGGGAACACGTGCGTTGATTTCCGCTTGGGGTCCTCCCTTGGGAATGACTGCGTACGCCTCTGATATGTTCTGGTTCCGCTTTGGGGTCCTCCCTCGGGAACACGTGCGTTGATTTCCGCTTGGGGTCCTCCCTTGGGAATGACTGCGTACGCCTCTGATATGTTCTGGTTCCGCTTGGGGTCCTCCCTTGGGAACACGTGCGTTGATTTCCGCTTGGGGTACTTTCTTGGGAATATCTGCGTACGTTTCTGATAAGATATGTGTATATGTTTTGTTTAGTTATGATATTTGATTTTATGACATGTTTTATGGGATATGTATGATGATTTTGTAAATGATATTTGTTACGTACGTTGATTTCCGCTTGGGGTCATCCCTTGGGAACGATTGCGTACATCTTTGATATAACACGTTTTGTTCTGATGTGAGTATTGTGATGATTTTTGTAAAAGATATTTGTTACGTGTGTTGATTTTCGCTTGGGGTCATCCCTTGGGAATGACCGCGTTTGTCTTTGATAAGATATGTATATATGCTTTGTTCAGTTATGATAATTGCTTATATGATGTTTTGTATATTATGTATCTGACTGTCATGCAGGAAGTGAGCCCAGGGTATGGAGGGTTTTCCATAAACCTGGAGTTTACTAGAGATTCGTCTCTAACCCCGTTTGGGGATATGATTTCAGGAACACAGTTAATTGAAGAGCCTCATGGGACAAGGACACTAACCGTGGCTAGAGGTACTAGTATGAGGATGTGGAGTTCTGGGTGGTCGGATGCTACTATTTGTTTTAGACGTATTTTTGGAAAAGATGTATTGTTGCATAGTGTTCATATTCGATACATGTACATTTATGTATTCAGGCATGATGATATGACTATGTAGTATTCAGTTATGTTATGTATTGGATTGCATGCTATTAGATTTGTGGCACAGAGCCAAGTTCAGCATGCGCCCATAGATGGGTATCTGAGTATGTTTGCATGACTGGTACTTCTGGAAATATATATTGTTTAAACTGTCTATCAGGAACTCTTGAGTGTGGGATTGGAAAATCCCCAGTTGTCCGATTTACAGAGGTTACTCTGTCCGATTTTCGTCTCCGTAAAATAAGAATTAAATTAGAAGAAGTATGCAATGTGATATGTCATGTGAAAAAGGATTAAAGAAAAAGAAAAAGTTAGTTCGTATTTTCGTAAGTAAGTCTTCCGCTGTTTCTGTTTGTATCATATGTATGTTAATTGAACCGGCTCGAGACGGGGATGTTACATTTATGGTATCAGAGCAGTTGCTCTAGGGAGTTACATGATATATAGCGTAATATATTTGAAGTTGGAAGTTCTTGAGTGTTTTCTTGCAGTGCTGTATAATGCATGTGTGATCACTGAGTGTGAGCGTAGCTAACTCATTCCTTAGTGTAATATATGCAGAGATATGGTTCCTCCAAGGAGAACTCGTAGAACTTTTAATAATCATGATCCACCACCGGATCATGTTGTAGCGATTTTGGCTGCACTACAGCAGACTTGGACTGCAACTAGGCAGAAAGAGCTTGAATTAATAATGAAGCATTCGATTTGACTGTGATAAGGATGAAATTTCGAATTTTCGTCAGAGAAGGAAATTGAATTTACAATCGACTTGTTACCTGGCGTGGGGCCTATCTCTCTTGCCCCATACCGGATGTCACCTCTGGAATTATCTGAATTGAAGAAGCAGATCGAAGACTTGTCTAGTAAGAATTTTATCAGACAGAGTGTATCTCCGTGGAGAGTCCCGGTGATCTTTGTTAAGAAGAAGGACGAGTCTATAAGATTGTGTACAGATTACCGGCAGTGGAACAAGGTTACTGTCAAGAATAAGTATCCTTTGCCGCGTATAGACGATTTGTTGGATCAGTTGCGTGGTGCGACTATATTTTCTAAGATTGATCTTCGGTCCGGGTATCATCAAATCCGGATAAAGTCAGATGATGTTCCGAAGACAGCTTTCAGGTCCTGATATGGGCACTACGAGTACCTGGTTATTCCTTTTGGGCTTACGAATGCACCAGCCGTTTTTATGAGTTATATGAATCGGATCTTTAAAGCCTATCTGGATCAATTTGTGGTTGTCTTTATTGATGACATACTGATATATTCAAGGTGCAAA